CTTCTTCCGAGACACATATCGTCTCGCCATTTACTGGCGCAAATCTTCATCTCTTCGTTAATAAACGTAGATCTATAAACACAACTGTGACTAACTAATATATTTCTTATTTTATTGCATAATGCCCTAAAAACTCAATCATGGCTGGTTGTCTTCGGTGGACGAACGGAATCATTATTATCTCGGTACCGCGCTGTCAATACGGTACCGACGAATAATGACCGTCTCGCCCACGTAAATCCAGGTGTAACAAAGCTAAAGGAAAACAATATCTCATATTTATCACTTATAATACGAGTAACAACAAAATATTCTAATCAAAATTAACAACGATGTTAAATACAGCGGTTAATAGCGGTGTCGATTGACAATAATCGGTGCACTAATTAGAAAAGCGTAACGTTAGAGAATATACATGTACGGTGTGAGGGGTATAGTAGTGCCGCAATCCAAAGCGATGCAAAAACTTTCTTGCGCGTGCGATTTAATAAGCCTCGGCGAATGCCCGACCAATATGGCTCTTGGGCGGGCACGATCGCCGCGACTTGACTTCGGGGGGTGGCGGAAGGGAGAGAAAGGTTTCGGGATTATATAAGCCGACGTTTCTTTTTCTTCTCCTCTCGCAAGCTTGTGCTATTGTAGTTTCCTCGTCTCGGAGGCGAAGTCAGTTTAAATCGTTCAATCGAGTTTAACAAGGCCCGAGCTGCTACCTATGGCTGCGGTGGCAACTCGGATGCGATGTGTATAAAATATATATATATGTAGACTTTTATATCTGTATATACATACACATGTGAGTTTATAGATACGTATACATCTCTGTATCTAAACAACGATCGCTAAATAAACTATATAATATATGTGTCGCGCGTGCGACGACGCGCCCCTGCGCGCGAGGGATGAAGTGTTAGGAGGTGGGGGAGAGGGGGATGGAGAACGCAGGTCGCGGCGGTCGCCTCGCGACCGCAAGATTCTAACGACTTTCTATCACGACGATTTCGAAATTCTTAATTCCTATGCCCGGCCGTTCTTTTTTTTTGTTCATCGGCCAGTTCGCGGGGCTACAATGCGAGACACGTAATTATTGTACCTACAAGTGTGATATATCGGCGTCCCCCGCCGCCCGCGCCGGGACAATACGACCCCTTCGTCTCCCGACCAAACGAAGTTTGCGGCGGGAATGCGCGACGCAGGTATCCTTGGATATCCGTCGAAGACGCGCAAATTTTTACTAATATTTTGTGCTTATATTGTATGGTTAATTGCCACATATGAAAGAAGTTTTTTTTATTAAGAAACAAATCGATAAATCGCAGCAGACTGATACGCTGATTTGATAATAAAAAAATTTTGAAGAACAATTTAGTGAACTAAGAAAAATTAAACAAACTAAATAATTTGCTGAAATTAATTTACTAAATTAAGTTAATTCAGTAAATAATAAATAAGTAATAATAAATAAGAGAAAGAATCAACTCTAAATGTATGATTAATCCTTTGACTATGGCGGAGCGTATCGCACGGCTCCGCGAAATTTAAAAGCGCAAACGCATTTCTTTTGATGAAATAAATGCAGATCAAAACAATTTAGAGCATTCACTGACAACACGTATGTCCATAATCGGGACGTTTTGAAGACGATTTTGGACATGTGTGCTGTCTGAGTTTCTACTGAATAATGGCAAGATTCGACATAGAAAAAAGTTATTACAGTGGTATTTTGTCTCAAAAGACTTTTCAGAGGGAAGTCACTTTAATGCCGTATCAGATTAAAGATTGAAACTGGATTGGAATTTGATTAATCAAAGCAAAGTTCACTAAACTTGAGATTGATTTTCTTTCTTCTGATTAATTAAATCCCAATCTAATCTTAATCTCAATATTTAATCTAATATGGGCACAATGGAGTCTTTCGCTTGAAAGAATAGATTTGAAACGGGAAGTCATTATAGTGGCGCGTAGTAGCCAAAGAGTTGAGATACTTGTATATATGTTAGTCATAAGAAGAAAGGATGTTATAAATATACAATTAAAACAACCTTTTTTAATTATTTAAATTATTTAACTTAATTGAAGCAACTTTCTTAAAATGTAGTCTTTCAGAAAGTTACCTGCAAACTGCTCGACTCTGGAGGACGTTTACGTATCTGAGAACATCCGTCGGATACCTACGTTATATCGATCAATTCTACTGGCCCTGGCTAATACTATTAGATAAATGACGAACGGTCCTATCTCAATGAAGGCGGTGCATCGTGAACGAAGGGGAGATACGCGCGTCGCGCGATATTGTGAGAATTAGGAGACGATTTATCGTCCCCGTTACGTCGCGCGATAACGCATAAGTGTGGAAGCAGATAGACAAATAGAGTCACGAGCATACCGGCGCACGTTAGGGTTTGAACACTCGTTAAGTGTTCGACGTTATGATCTCAAACTACTGGAAATTGCGACTGATTCTCGCAAAATTGTCGCTCCACTGTCAGGCCCACACGACGCGTTTATTCGCGAATCGACCCGTATTTATGACACATATTTACGATCCTACGTTGAGTTGAACTTAATCTAATACGTTGCGATATAATCTATCATATAATTCCTCATATTATAATCGGCAATGCATATTTTTGAGATTTCTATAAATTCCTCTAAGTATAAAAATCTTTAATTAGCCGATTAGATTGAGAATAACAAAATTGAGAATAAAATATTTGACCATTTCTGAGAAATGGTTTGGACTGTAAAGGGTTATAAATCCTTTGCAGTTTCTATACAAACAAAAACTCTTGTAAAAAAAATCATTTGGCACAATAATCCTCCATGTATTTTAAATAACTGAAATGGTGTAAATAAAAATAAACTAATTTTAGGTTGGTCAGAAAGTCTTTTCGTATTTTAAGTCATCCTTTTTGCACATAAAATATGAAAAGATTTTCTGATCAACCTGATAAGTATAGTGGAAAGATAAACGCTTCTAAATTTTTTTTAAATACTCCAAATGATTAAATTAAACATTATGTTTTAAATAATACTGATAACAATTAATCACAATTAATTGAGGTAAAATACTAATGAATACTAATTCATCAAAATTATTATTTCAATGAATTAGTATTATAATTATTATTATTTTAAACTTATACATTCGTATTAAGCATATATAAAGTAAATATTACGGTTGTTTAATTTTCAAACGCAATATGTTTTTACATTCAATGTTTAAAACCGAAAAGCATGTCTGACTACCTAAACTATTGATACGGGATTACACAATTGATATATTGTATGTGTCCACGTGATAATATTATAAAATTCGGTTTTAATGTGATAAAATCCGTGTAATATTCGACAAACAGGTCGTGCGGAGCCAGTCAGTAAACAAATAATGTAAAATAATAAACTATCAAGATGGCTGAAAGTTATAGTTAAATTTTCTAGAGAATTTTCATTAAAGAAATCGCATCATACACTCGCGGATCTTTAATGGATATGTAAGGAAATAATCGATGACTAGAAGATTATGAGTGTGAACCCAGTGATTGAAAATTGTATCTATATAAAAAACGCCATCGTTCTCCGTGCTACGATGGTGATTCGACACAGGACTGAGCGGGATATCGTTATGAAGCGTATTCACACCGGCAATAGAGACCTGATAAATTCCTTAACATTTTACCGGTGATATTATAATTTGCGTATAGTCCACACAGCATTTACCGTCCGCGGGCTTACGGCGAAGCCCTGGAGGGCTGGTCAAACGGAAATATATATATAATTCTAAATCCACCGTCTAAAACATCGACGCCGATTAACCGTGATCAACTCACAATTCCCTCCCACCGTTCTATTTTATAGACAATAACAACGTGGCGTCCCAGCGAGGGAATCGTCAATCGCAATTCGAAATTAATCGGTATCGCGCAATCATCTCCTACAAGATATCTTAACGTTATAATCTCTCTTCTATAACATCTTTATATGAAGTGAACGTTTTCTTTTTATACGCGATTGCATAACTCTTGCATCGGTCTAAAATAAACGGTATTATTAAACAACAAAGTCCGTTTCGAACTCGATACCGCGAAACGACTCGGGGAATCTTTTACGCAGGAAGGGGGAGGAGGGGGATTGTTTTTTTTTTACTGAAGATAAACGGGTTCTCGGTTAATTGCCTCAAAGCGGGTCCATTAGTCGCCGCGCTCCTTAGAAAAATACCGAGTCGGTTTATTACAAAGGTCGAGACTATACTAAATTAGACTCTTTGCGTAAATGATTCTCCTAGGTTTAAAGCTGTCGTCCAAAGGTAGGTAGGATCGTAGAGTGGCTCTCTCGTTTGCGACAAACATTGTCCGTTAGAAGAAGCGTGAACATCAGTGCTTGTGTTCGCCAAGGTATCTCACCAATCTCTCATGCGACTTGTCGTGTTCCGTGACGCGCGTTGTTAAATATTTACAGGATACAGGGGTTATCGCTAGGGGAGGCCCGTCCGAGGGAAGGCATGGCTGACGACGTTATGTCGGTGTTACGTCGCGACGACATCCACTCTCTTCTCCGGGTTTCTTTCTTTCTATCATCGGTATCCGCGCGACACTTTTCGCGATGGAACACACGCGGAACGGGGGATAGCCTGCCTTTTCGGTTCCGTTCTCGGCGATGAAGAAACAAAGTGAGCCGACGCGCGAACGTCGAGTCGCGCGGGATCTCGACCGTGACCCGAGGAGAAGAGATCACACGTCGTCAATCAAGTCGGTACCCTCGAGATTCAAGTGGGAGTGCGCTCGAGTGTCCGTAGTGTATCGGTCCGTGATAAGAGACTGATCCTCGTCTTGTTCGATCGGTGGATTTTTGTTACTTGCCGCCGTGGGACCTTGCTCGGCGTTCGTGCTCTAGCAGAGGTATACTTGGAACCGGGCACCGTGCAAAATCACAACCGCACTGTCCTAGACTGGCTCGGGAGGCGGATCGTTCCCCTTGACACCCTCTCTAGATTGAATCATTACCTCCGTCTGTTCCTTAGTTAACTCGTGATCCTTGGTAATTTCGAAGTCCTGCTCGGCCAGGAAACTTCGACGTATCGCGCCGTTCGCCACCGAGGACAGATCGTTCCTCTGATGCTGCGTGTCCCGCCACGGTGTCGTCAGGATCTTCAACCTCTGCGTTGAAAAATTTGACGCATATGTATATCGCGTTATCTTCTCACGGAAAGAGAGCTAATTATTATAAATATAATTCAAATAATTTGATAAAATTAATTTAGCAACGTTCAATCAATCCTTAATTATCTTTTCAGTAAACTTATCCGCTAAGAAACTCAAGTGTATATAATATGTTTTTATTTTGTAATGTATAATTATTTTAGATTTAATTGTATAAATTATATTCGATCAAGAAGACAAAGTTTCCTTTTTTCTTCTATTAATATTTTTTCTAATAATAAATACAATTGCAGTTTTATGTGGTTTCATTGATTTTTATATTAGATAAATTAAGTAAAATACTTACTTGAACAAAGGATCCGGGTGTGCTGCTGATTTTGTAGATCGCCATACCTGGGATCATGATGATGGAAGAGCATGCGATTAGCCAGCCTAATATATTTGCCCAAACCGGATAAGTGTAATCTTCGTATGATAATGGTTCGTATCCCATTAAACCATAGACGATGATAAACTGTAAGCATCAAATAAAAAACAAATGTATATGTAATAAATACGATGACTATTATTATTTGAATGCTAAATTAATTCAGTATTAGAGCAATCACTCATCAAAAAGAATCCGGATTTTGATTTTTGAAATTAAATTTTGATTGAGAAAATATATTCTATTGTAATAAAAGTATATAATACAACAACAAATAAGATTTAAAAATAAAACTTGGTTCTTAAAATAAAGGTTGTTGGGCAAGAAGTTTAACTCCTCATATAAATTATGAAACTGAGCGAAAATGAAACAAAATAAAATAAAAATTGAAATTAAATCAGGAGAAAATCAAGATTGCCTCATAGAATTATTTTTCTTTAAACTTGTTATAATTATTATAAATATTATTATTATCACCTTTATTGAAAGAAATAAAAATCAATTTTTTTTACAAAAATTGTTAGAAGTGTAAATTCTTTTTTAAATGGTATTGTTATACTTCTTGAGCCACCTAATACGATTTACACTGACTATATTATGACGTACCATAAGGAAAAGAGGTGCTGCGAATTTCCAGCATACACGCCAGTAGATGCCGGGTTTGAATCCGATCATGTCCTTGATATCGGCGCAAAATCGGTCCGTTCCATAGATCCAACTGACCGCGATTGTTTCTGCCAGTACGGCGAACAGCATCGAGTACCCGGCCGCGTATCGATCCAACAAGTGGAAAAAGTAAAACCCGCCCTATATTGAAAAGCAATAGCCTTCTGTTTATATAATGCAAGGCACGCGCATTAGAAATCACGTACCGTTTTGCATAAATTTAACACAATCTACAACAATACAAAAGTGTAATATGTTGTTTTAATAAATTGAGACTTTATTGCAGGAAATATTACAAAGACATCTAAGAGTAATTTTAAAGATTAAAACTTATTAAATATAGTTTTCCAAGATACGTATTTTTTATATGTTCTTGTATCGAAAGTTTTTATCAGACTAGAAATTATCAAACTGATATTTACGGTATCAATAATTAAAACAATTAGGGTATGTACCTGTGAGCAAGAAGCAAGTCCGACCAGAAAGTATAGAGTGAACAAGCACGCCACGAAGATCTCACGATTATTGCCGATTATTGGAAACTCGTCGCTAAGTGCCGTTATAATTGCCTCCGAGCCTCCGAACTATAAAATCACATTAATTTCTAATAATCTTAACTATTCATATAAGCGAGGAGTTCCATCGCTTAAAAAAAAAAAAGATATCTTCGACATATTATATTTAATGACAATAGGTATATCAAATGGCAGTTTTACAGGAAGAAAAGTGAATGAAACAATTTTCAATAAAATAAAACATGTAAAAAAATATTATTACTGTTGAAGTAATTCGTATATGCGGTAAACAGTTTATTTTAAAATAAAAACTCACCGAGCTGTCTAAACCGAGTGTGAGCAGCATCATGAAGAAGATGAGCGCCCAGAATGTCGAACCGGGCATCGTAGCGATGGCCGCCGGATAGACGATGAAGACCAGACCGGGTCCTTCTGTGGCGACATCCTGGATGGACTTGCCGCTGGCGTGCGCCATGTAGCCGAGCACCGAGAATATGACGAATCCTGCGACGAAGGACGTTGCGCTGTTGATCAAGCTCGTCAGCAGGGCGTCTCTGCGGAGAACACGAATGTCAGGATATGGGATGAAAACGAAGAGTAACGAACGACCTTCAGATTCCTTCAGTTGTATCGAAAGAGCCGCCGAGTGTAAACCAAAAATTTTTGAAAGTTTCCAATGAAACTATAGCTGCCTTTTGTACTCACATTTTAATATTTTCTGATACATATAGGTTTTCGTATTAAATTCGACTATTAGTTAGGCATTGCGGGCGAATCAGATGCGCGAAAGAAAAGCAAGTGCTATTAAAAAAAAAAAGAAGAAGATCTGGCATTCTTACTTGTAAACATTGTTGTGATATTTGTTGTAGCTCGCGTAGGCCAGCAACACTCCGAATCCCGGTCCTAGAGAGAAAAATACCTGCGTCGCCGCGTCCACCCATACCTGGAAGAAGATGGAAAGAATATCCTCGTAAAAGCGATAGAACACGTTCCTAATAAGATTCTCATTCTCAATTCTCATAAAATAAAAATACTATCAGTATTTTAAGGCTGGTATTACATTCGACAAAGTATTTCAAGCCTGTTGATTGGCTGCAAGAAAAAGAAGTTGTTGGATCCCATAGTCATAATCAATAGGCTTGAAATCTTTATCGTACGGCTCATGTAATAGTTTTATACTCTTAGAATCCACGCATGTTAAGAAATTTCAATTTTCCATTGTTTCAAGTATCTATAAACTACTTATTAGTAATTTTCACGAACAATTTTTGTTGCGTCAAACATATTAATCACTATATATTTACTATAACGAACAATACATAGAGCTGGAAGAAAAATTGTACAAATCAATTGCGAATTTACGAAAAAAAAGATTTCCCGGAAAGAAGAGAGAGAGAGAGAACAGGGGAGAAGAAGGGCATCGGTCAATACATCAACCTGATTCTTCTCGTAAATCCTGTACGGATTAGCGGTGATCAACAAATCCACTTTCTCACTGATATATAAATCCCACTTTAGCGACGACGGCGGTAAGCGGCTAAAGTCGCCGCCGTCCTCAGCGACGGAATGCATTCCGCACGCGAAGCACGAGGGTCGGCGCGCGTTCTAACGTTCTAGCGCGTGCTCTACCAAACTCTAATGTTCATTATGACAGCTACACAGAGTTTCCATTTTCACCGTCGTCAGTTAACCCTGCACGTTCCTCCTACCCTATTTTTCCCATAGCTCGGTCACCATACCCGGCCACCTTTCTACCCCCCACGCTCCCCCATTCGCTTCCGCTCTCGAACCCGTACTCGCGATCCTACAAACGCATTAACTCCCAAAGTTTTCTCTTTTTGTCACTGGCCGCGGGGATACGTCACGGCTTATAATAATCCAGGTCAACGGCAATAAAACAATCGCGAGCGCGCCCGATACTTTCCTCTTTCTTTTACAATTTTATTAAAAAATAAACCCCGCGTATTGTGAGCGAAAAATATTTTTCAATGTCTCGTGGGAAGAGTGATGTTTTCTTTATTATGATACGCTTATTATAAATAGCTCCAGTATTTTATATACTTCATTTTTTATTGTCAATCACGAGATTTAATTATGCAATAGAATTATAAATTATTTCAAATTATTAATTGGGTAGCAGCTTATTAATTTTTATTAATCACAATCTTGATTATTAACATTATTTTATTTATTACAAATTGCTTTAAGTTATTTTAAGGGGCGGATGGATTTTAAGAAAATATTTAAGTCCATAAAAAACAGATATTAAACACACAATAAACGGATTAAAAATTCGTTTCTTAAAAGTTATGCAAAATATTTCGAGCACTGTACACGCATGCAAAACATTACACATACCTCTGCCTTTGTGATAACGGCGAAATTTGGACTGAGATAATAACGGATCCCCTCCATACTGCCCGGTAGAGTGACACCTCTTATCAACAAAATGAGCAGGACTGCGTAAGGGAAAAGAGCAGTAAACCAGACTACCTATAACACAAAAGAATCGCTCGTTGTATTATAGTTCCATTCTCACACGATCTAAAATATTCTATACATATATATGATTCTCGTAGATAAGCGCTTGATAGAACTCTTTAATATAAATGTACGGCGCTATTGTGGATCTTAAGTGAAAAGATGTCTTTTGGAGACTCACTCTCATTCGTCTTTAGGATCTTGAATCACTGACGAGGCACTTAGCTTACCTTGCCGGAAGTCGAGATGCCCTTCCACAGGGAAAAGTAGCAGACCAGATAGACCACGAGCAAGCATAGCGCGATATCCCACTTAATGGCACCAAGATCGTGTAAGCCCTCGCTTCGGTGTAGCTCCAGAATAGCGCGACTTAGAAGAAAAATGTTTTATAGTTCAGATATTGCGTGGAGATATTGTGTAAATAATTTGGGTAAAGAAAAAAATTTATATTTAATATACCTTTCTTTCTAATATAATTTTTAATATAATTATATTTAATTCTATACAACGGACACGTAACGTTTGAATTTTTAAGAATTGCGACAAAAATCTAAAATATGTATATATATTTAATGTCTTAATAATTTTAGAGTTTCTGCACACAATATATTTTCATATTATTTCTATGTTATGATAATATACTATTGTTTTATTAAAACAAAGTTTAAATTACGAAGATAAATATTTCAATATCTAAGATATTGCCATCCAATATTAATTCTTCAAGTGTCATTCAAAATTATCAATATTTTAAATTATACATAAATATCTTTTGCGTTTTGCTAAAAACTAAAATTATCTGGAAATCTTAATCGTTTGCTATAATCATATACAAATATTAAGTATTAATATTTAACGTTCAAGATAATTTAACGTTATTTAACGTTCAAGATAATTTAACGTTATTTAACGATATTTAACGTTAAAGATAATTTTGTTTTCAAAGTGTCACTCACTTGAAGTATTCATGCGCAGCGCTCGTATGATTATCCGCCGTACTCTGAGCAGCGACATCCGATCCTAGATCGACCAGAAGCCGGGTGGCGTTTCCAAAATTCTCACTTATGTCGCTGGTCATATCCTCGAGCGCGTACGAGACGTTCGCGTCGAATTCACGGCACAGCGGCGTGTTCCAGTCGTTGTCGCAGGAGGTCCACGGCAGCATCGTGGCGAACGAGGCGAAGAAATAACGAAGTGACCAGGCGATGATGACGTTATAGTAGAAATCAACGTAAAACGCGATTAGGACGACCGCGTATCCGATACCTAATCAAGAACAAACGCGTTTTTTCATGCCAAACGTTCCATCGCATAGTGATCGAAGGCTATCTTCATACAATTAGAAAATTAAAGCATTTCAGTTTCTGTATTTTCAAAGTTTGCATGTGATTATCAATGATCGCATAAAAAATGATTCAAATAATAAAAAAAGATTTATATTTAATATAAACCTTTCTTTCTAATATAATTTTTAATATCATTATATTTAATTTCATGATGGACATGCTAATGTTTAATTCTTAAGAATTGCGATCAAATAAACTCGACTATTTTTGTCGAATTTATTAATGCTGATCTATTTTTTTATCTAAAAGCAAATTAAGCGAAATAATATCGAATAAATATATAATCAAGAATTTTCATTTTTATTGCAAAAATTTTATTTCCCAAAAATTGTCTAATTTTATTAATCCATTATTTGTTGCAGCTTCCTCATTGACAATCCGCGCGCGCGCGTGTGTGTGTGTGTGTTAAATTGATCTCAGAAGTGCAAGGATCAATTATCACTAAACAAATTAGCACGATAATCGTGTAGGTGCGAGAGAAATCGGAACAACGCGGCAGAAACGTTAGAAATGCACCGTTCTTCCTGTGCCAATATTGTTTCTTGCGGCGCGTATACATCGTACACCTATGCAAATGATTGACCTTCTCTACTGTGGTATGCGAGATCGCATATATAGGTACGTACATACGTACCTATATATGCGATCTCGCATACCACAGTAGAGAAGGTCAATCATTTGCACGTAGATACGTTTATCATGCGACGCAGAATTGCGACGACGGATGATCTTGATCGATCATACGGCGATCAGCGGCGGACGGGCGGGTGAAATTGTGGCTGTGGAAATGAAGTTGGAAATCGGCGGAAATGGAGGCTCTTTACGCGGAGAGCACCGGTCGTGTCTCTCACATCCCACTGTGATTCCCTCGGATTTATACGCGTCGCATAAAGCAACCGCGGCCACGTATTACGAGAGAGATCTGCGAGGCAAGAAAGCACACATACACACACATACACACACACACACACACACACACACACACACACACACA